ATTAAGTGAGAGTAATTTAATTGGGAGATCATTCATGGCAAACTATATCGTCACATTATAATGATAATAATGAAACTTGCCCTGGAACAATACACAGACCTAATTAGTTTTGGGTTGAAATCTATGCATTATAATTGCTTAATTTGCATAATATTTATCCAATTTTCTACCTATATCTCAAAAAACAATTATTGCATTTCAATAAGACTCAGTATACAAGTCCCTGAGAACAATCCTAAAGACCAGATTAGTTTTGAATTAAAATTTGAGCATACTACTGTAAAATCTGTATTAGAAGCCGCATCCCCAATAGAAGCCACACCCATTCTTTTTGAACAGTCGAGACCCAAAAATTCACCAGGTCGCATATGTGTAGATGCTCTAATAGAAGCCGCATCTCCTCTGTTGCATTGTACCATTTTAATAGAAGCCGCGACTTTTAATACAGATTTTACAGTAATTGCCTAATCATCACATTTCATTGACATTTTGTTCGTAGCTGCTCTGAGGTAATCCACTTCCACGATTAGTTTAATGTTGAAAAACATTCATAATTATTATGTAATTATTATTAGATTTCAATTACACTTGTGCTCTGGAATTAATTAGACTGAAAACCACAGATGCAAAAATCAAATTTTCTGTAAGTATAATATACTTAAGTAATGTGGATTACATTGTTTTCACGTTGTACATCTCAAATTGCAGACAAATACTAGTTACCAAACTTCTTGTATGAATGGCTAATCTTAAATTTTCAATTAATTTTAATATGTTTCCAATACTCTCAGCACACAGGAGTTCTCTCTAAGCTTTATTTGATTGTTTTCGATCTATCTATCTGTCACTGTGTATCCATGTTGTACTAGTACCTTATTCTACTGATATCTCAATAGCCACTGGATGGCTTGGGTTAAACTTGGTACACATCTTCTTTGTCATGAACACCATGCAGGCTGAATTCGATTATGCTTCAAATATGTGCATATTAATTTTCATAATATCCTGTTCTTTGTGTTTCTTAGTAGCACAAATGCAATGAAACTTGATACATGCTTGCTGTTTGTGCAAATTACTATCACATAATAGTCTTTAATTAATCTGTACAAATTGGTTTATTTGCTTTTCAATTACTGTGTGTGCAAATGAATAATAAACATCTGTAACCTCTAATAAATATGACAACTGTTTTGATTTGTTTCAATGAGAAATTTCATATTTTAGAGATTACAATATATTACTATTTCACAGCTGTAATTGTTACTGTAGAGAGTTGGTTTTATTGAATAAAAATTCAAGTAAAATGTTATCTAATGTTGTTAATACCAACTACTATATTGTCTAGACAAATATCTCAATAACCAAATCAGTTCTTAGCAGCAACTAATAAACAAAACTTTTTTCTAATTTAGTATTCCTAGCACCCACATGTGAAATCTTATGAATCATTTATATTTGTTAAGATTGCCAAACTAGGTAATAATTTCTCCATTACAGTTTTGTATTTATGGAGGATACTACTTTGTCATTGGGACAATATTCATGGCTAAAGCAGTCTATACATTGAGCAAATCAGGTTGGATTATCAGTTGCCAGCAGCGATGGGTTACTTATAAGGATGAAGATGCAGACAGTGTTGAAGAGAAGTATCTACAAGAGGAAATGGAGAAAAATCACACAATTCAGTCTGATATTGAGGAAGAAGCAAGTCTAGTGGAGAGGAGGGTATGCGTAAATGATGATAATGAATGTGTACATTAAACATATAGTTGTATGGTGTAGATGTACTATCAACAGCTAATTTATATTACTCCCCAAATTTTCTACATTCTGATCCTTATAAGTATCCATAATTGTTTCTCAGAGATGAACTTGCCGATTTCATTCAAACTTTGTAACAGGATCATGTATGTTGGGTTATAAGTGCATATATAAGTCATATTTTTAAAGATTAAAACAAAAATTTCCGACTGGTGGCCATTTTGTTTTTATTCATGTTCATGCCAATTTTAATATATTGCATGATTCAGTTTCAATTTTGCACACAAGTACTATACATATATATATATTATACCGGTATATGGTGAGTTATATTATTTTCTGATTCAATCAAATTTGTTGAATTTTGAATGCAGTCTGTATAAAATGTTTGTAGAACCATTTTCTGAGATGAGCAGGTTGATTTTAATTAAACTTACATATCATTAATCATAGTCATTCATATTTTATTACTGGTTCTCGTCATATTTGTTAGCTCCGCTGTCGACGAAGCTGACACAGCGGAGCTGTTCATATTACTGATTGTCCGTCGCAGTCGTCGTCAACTTTACAATTTCAACTTCTTCTTTGAAACCGCAAGTCAGAATGTTTTAAAGTTTGATATGCAAGTACCTTGGATGATTGTCTCTCAGATTTGTTCATTTCATGTCAAAATCTCAAATTTTGTTTTTTTGCTGAATATTTTTGTGATTTTTAGTCAAAATTGATATTTTTGACTTCTTTTTTGAAACCGTAATTCTGAATGCTTTCTAATTTGGTATATAGACATCTTGAGTGGATCTCTCTCGGATTTGTTCTTTTTGTGATGATATCTTTAATTCTCTAATTTTGGTGAATATTTTTTGTAATTTTTGGTAAAAAGTGATATTTTCGACTTCTTGTTAAAAACAGCTCCAAACAAGTCCAATTGCTTTGATATTACATATATGGGTACTACATGTGGACCTCTTTCAGATTTGTTCATTTCGAGATGATATCTTCAATTATCTAACTCTGATGAATATTTTTGTCATTTTTGGTGAAAAGTTATATTTTCGAATTCTTGTTGAAAACAGCAAGTTTGATTGCTTTGATACTATACAAATTGTTCATTTTCTAATGATATCTTCAGTTCTTTAATTGAAATGTGCATTGCTAACAGTGGAGCTATCTCAGCTGATAGGCTGCTTGTTAAGGATTCAAACAAAACTGGTCTACTTGTGGCCTTTTGTTTTGTTTTTGCCTTGGGGGCTATGCAATGTCAATGCTTGTCTAATGTGCAGTTGTGCCAGCCAGCTGCACAATTTCAACATATAGTAAAACAAATGCCACAATATCCGTGTACATAACAGATCTAAGTAAATGTAATATTAAAGCATGTGCAAATAAAATAATACATGTGTTTCAGCGGTTTTGATATGCTGGTTTCCATCTTGCACAACTGCCAGTTCAGTAGTTATAGTTTCTATGGTAACATTCAGTGAACTCTCCCAAGCTACTTAAAGATGTTTTAGTAACACACTTAGTTATGTCATAGACCCTTTGTTGAGGGTCTATGGTTATGTCTATTCCCTTGCATATCATTGACACAACAGAAAATATGCATCAACATACCAGTATATAAGACCCAGCGCTAAGTTGCAGGTTTTACGAGGCTCATCAGTAAGTCACAACCCCCTATAAGTCACGGTTTTTACTTGGATCCCGACACTTACAGTGAGGGGTTACTGTATCTTCAAAAAGTATCTTGCTGTAGAATTTGTAATTTGCTAAGATAGAATTCACATTTTATGAACAAAATAAATGTGAAAACTAAGGAAATCAGGGGTCACAGTATTTTAGTATGTGCCTTCAGAGGTCACCCAGATCCAACTGATTTATGAGATTCCATTGTGACTCAAGATTCCTGCAAAATCAGTCTCTGTTAGAGAGTACACTAGTAACATCATTTATTGGCTTACCTCTGGTAATTCAAAATCATAATTTCCACAATATTTCACACTGGTGAGCTTATTTTAAGTGATATCTTTTGTGCGTTTACCAGTATTTTTGTTTGTCATGAGTATACCAAAAAGAAATGTTGCCTGTACATAAAAATAACTATAAAGAAAATAATAATAGTGAAATAAAGAAAATCTAAAAAATAAACTATTAAAAAGCCCAACAAGGGTCTAATTTTAATTGGATGGAAGCTTGACCTGTTAATGTGCTTCTTGTCACACAATGAACGTCCTAGTGAACAATAGAAGACATGAAAATAATGCATAGGTAGCAGCTCAACCATTGTGTAGGTATTGTACTGGTAGTACCAGTGCTATTCTTGTGTCTCGGATTTAGTTTCTATTATTGTACATCATTGTGAAAGCTTGCAGACTCATTAGATAAACACCAATGTAGTTTTCAGAATATTGACCCACTTTTAACTGACAAATTTATTCAAACTGATAAATCTGGGCCATAATCCCCAGGATGGGGGTGGCACTCACATTAATTTATAGATGTGCCCCCAAATTGGTTACTTTTTTCCAAAAATGCCTTAGAATTAGAAAAAAATTAGATTATGAAAAACTATTTTTACCTTGCCCGTAACATTAAAGATGGAAGGGAAAGATATATTAAGGGAAAGATTTTTGCCCGGCGTTGTCGTCGTCATTGTCGATGTCGTTAATAATTATTGTGTGCACAATAACTTTATTAATTCTATTCCAAACTTAAGTCAACTTATTTATTCATCAGTATAAAGTCTTCCCTGAGTTTGAACAACAGATGTCCTGTATGAAAATATGCAAAAATTGAGAAAATCGGGTAAATTTTTTTGACTGTTTCTACTTGACTGATCACTGGTGATGCGCATCAAAGAGGTCACTGATCTCAGTGGAAATATGCATTGCTGTCTGTGTTCAATGAAGCAAATCATTTATCTTGTAATAATATCCTTGGTAATGTATCTCCCATGGGAATACTATACTGGGTTTCAAAACCAACTCATGCAGAGATTTTGCACAGTCTGATACACATTAATTTGCAAACCTACCAAAAAAATCTTTACAGAAAACAAGATGTCAGAAAATCAATATAAGCACTCCTATGAACTGGGTGTCAAACTTAGATCAAGATCTGAAGCTAATAGAAAATCTGTTTAGTTCAAAGTTATCAAATCAAAAACAATACATAAAAAATACATAAAAAGCAAAACATTGCATCCACATTTTGAAAAGAAAATTGTACTAAAATATATGTATTCTGTATTTGACAAACAGTTCATTCGACAAATGAGAATTCAGCTATTAGAACAGAATGATAGAGCTTTTATAATACTAATTTGAAAACGCACATCGAAAAAAAAGATTGCAGTGTTTGAAGATGTAGATTCTCAGGAGGCAACAGTACTGTTGACTTCTCTCTCCACTGGACACCAACTAACTATTTAAGTTGATTTGCATACAAAGCAGAGCTTGCAACTTGATAGCTGTTCATAGAGGGTGTTTTTTTTTTTTACTTTTCATATAATACAGTAGTCACACAATGAATATTATAAGGCAGTTTATATTTGTCTCAGTGAATCATTAATTTTTGACATACACCTGTACAAAATACTTGGACAGAAGCCAGCTAAGATTTTCTGTTATCTTGCATGTTTTATGAATCTATTCACGTCAAAATGCAGCACTTTTTCTGCGATAAGGCATTTGTTTTTATACTAAAATATCTGAATTATGTCCCTTAAAATAATTAAACAAATTAGGCACCAAGATATTTACATCTATCAAGGATATTTGGTAGACTGTTGGTTCAACCCCAAAACTTGTTTGTATTCAAAATTAATTATGACAATGCATATTTATATTGAAACAAACTATGATAAAGGGAATTATATTATATAACAAAGGGCAAGGTCACCAGAGTTTCTTAAAATGTGGTCAATGTTGTGAGATCGGTTGGAAGACCATCATCAAATGTATACGAACTGTTGTCACATCTACCCATAATGCAAGGCTCCAAGCGGGGCAGTTTTAAAGAAAAATAACTCCTAACCATTTGTAGAATTTAGGGCCAATCAACTTCTCATAAAAAATGCAATCTACACATCAGGGCATGAAGTACCAGAACTATTGACATTAGTCATCGAAAACATTCTACGTACATTAGACATGGGACCTAGTGGCAAGTCATTTTATTTTACAGGTCAGATTCAAAATGGACGATTATTGGCCATTTTGTTTTAATAAGAGCTGTGCTGAAGTCATATCTCATACATGCCTGGACTGATCACATTCAAACTTCACACATACATCATACATATTAATTTCTTAATCCCATTCAAGATTGTAGTATAGAAGCCATTGTTGTGCTGAACATTCATCCAAGTTTCTGACATCGTAACCAGATCCTTGTCACATATGTACAGATTTTTTAAAACATAGTACCAGTACATACATTGAACATAATAGGACCTTGATGCATATCATTTTGTTATTCAGATCAGTTTTGAATTGTCCATCTGATGGTCATTTTGGTGTTTCATAGTATATGTAATACTTTTATGATTTAGATGTAATTTTTGCCTTATTTGATAACAAATACTGTATACTGGTATAATAATTCTAGGCTTGTTACATGAAAATATTTACATTTATAAAGGAGAGTGTGAAGAAAACTACACACATGTTTCATGATAAATTTGATTGTAATGTATTTCCTTTGTACATATTGAGATAATATTGTTTGTGGCTAAATATTGAAATTTGTTGCAGTGATTCACAGATTCATTTTTTGATTACTAAGTACAAAATCATATAATTACACAATTTATAAACATTAATTGACATTATTATACTTGTTATTTTATGTATGATTAATTAATAATTCGTTAAGTTATGAATTCCAGCATTTAGGTTTTTTTTTTCGAAAATATCTGATATTGGCTTGTTAGATGCATCTGACTCAAGATATGGAAATTATAGTGTGAAATTTTGCTTTGTGAAAAATGCTTGCATATACTAGTAAGACTGAAATGGTAGATGTTTAAAGGGTAGCAGTCATCGCACCGCGTCCTGTTTGATATGAGACTCATAGCGGCGTATACAACGCGTGTAAAATATATTGTTTATTTACACAAAATTTGAAAACGCGCTGCGCGACGACCACCGCGCTGTAAATACATTGGTATTTTACACTACCACCTGGTATTATATTGAGATGTAATGACAAGTGGGTTTAGCCTTTAATTATTAGACTAGTAACAAGATAAAAATGACAAGCTCCCTAAATTGCAGTTACTAGTAGCAAACTCATGAAGACCAGGCAATGTAGAGTAGAAAATTCTTTAGCCCATCAAGATTGATTTAATTTTTATAAAACCTATTTGTCATTGTATCTCAAATATGTAACATAAGGCATATGTACATGTATAAAATAAAATTAACTTATAATGAGACTCGTATAGTCTATTTCTATTTATTTCCAGTAAACATTCATTGTCTTCTAAAATTGAAATGTATATTCTTAGTTTCTTAAGTTATTTCTGTGAATTTTTGTTTGTTTTTAGAAAGAGTACACTTTCTACTTTAAAATAAACTTTACCGGTAATTTATATTTTTTAAGAAACTGTGGATGGTTTTTACAAATTTCTCTTAAAAAATCATTCATAAATGCAAATGAAAAGTTGTCATTGCAATACTAATACAGTACACACATCAAACACGTCAGTTTGTATGGGAAGCAGTAAACTATGTAGGTCAAAGGAGAGTAACTAAGTTTTATTAATGCCATCATCTGACTGATATGTGAAATTCATCACTTTGATAGATCAAATAAAGTTTTCAATTTATAATTTAGTTTCTATTGGTTAAGTATGTGACACTTTTGAATCACTTGCATAATACATAATATAAATTATTCTTACAAGTTGATTAAAAGTTGAGTCATGTGAGAGAAGCAATAGAAACTGAGTTTTGTCTGAGGTAATAATTGAACAGTGAAATTTATTATATACCTGTATCACTTATATAATTGGTATTTGCATATACTGTATTTGTTCTGTTAGTTTCATATTATATTATTAATTAAAGGGATTTTATCTTTCAATGTTAAAATAAATTTCTTTTTTTTTCAAACATCAGAAGATTTTCTGAATGTATATATATATTAAATAATTTAATTCAAATAATAATATATAATAAATATGTGTACATGTAACACTGCCTACACTGGAAATAAATACAGACTATAAAACATATTTGTCTAATCTGGTATTTGGTGTTGGTGTAAAATATGTTGGGGGCTAGAGTGTAGATTTCAACATTTTTAAGGGGGTGTCTTTGGTGCAAGGTTAGTGAGCAGATCTGGCCACCTCATGCAAAATTCTGTGCTGCCGTCTCTATATTGATGAATGGAGTGTAATATTTTTGCCCATGGAGTCCAGAAAAAGTTTTTGTCCATTGTGTGGCCCTTTTAAATTTTCATGATAATCAAAATAAAATTACTATTTTAATGAAATAATTTAATAACACAAATTGAAAAAAAAATCATGCACAAATTTAACCCGAAACATTTTGGGTCTCAAATACAAGAAGCAAGTTCATTAGCTACATCACATTACATTTTTTTTGTATTACCGGTACTCTATAAACCCCCCCCCCCCCCATTGTTTTAAAGTAGAAAAAAGTCAATTTTCTTACGTGTGTGAATAGAACTAGAGTGGGCGGAAAAAATCTGGCGGCCGACTGTCGATCCGTCAATATGATTGAGAGAAGAAATCACAAACAGCCATTATCAAGTATTCGGGTCAAAGGTTGTAAACATAAAATTCTGATGTTTATCGGGAGATATGTTATCGTTATATTGTTGACGTACGTAGTCTGATGCTTTCTACGTGTTTGGGGATACCCCGAGTGATACCGTTCTGCGTCGGTGATAAATAACCACGACGTTTCAGGTGAACTCTAAACCCAAAGCGCGCCAAACAATAATGAAGTGATTGAATTAAAATTCTGGATTTGTTGTTGTGAAGCAAGTATAAAGCCACCAGTACTGTTGCCAACATTAAATCTTCTTCACGCCGTAAATCTTCGTTTGATGATCGTCTGTTAATTTAAAGTAAGTACCTTATGTTGCTTTGTTGGCAAGGACACTATTTTCCAGAAGCAGAGAAAACGAGTCATTCGTGAGCTTTCAGTGTTTTAGAACATTGCTGATCAACCACACGATCGCAGGTATATCGTATAGCGTCGTCTCATGGTGTCATGTCTTTGGTTGAATTGCTATTGAAACAATGAGTACATGTTGGCGGTGATGAATACCAATAATTTCTATTGCTATCTGCTCTAGTGATTTAGACTTACTGCTTTCATCTTCCCTTCATTCGTATTACGTGTTGTATTTGATGATGCAACACTGGATTTCGTTTTCGTAATTGTACAGTCTTCTCTTGAAGTATTGAACTTTTTATGTCTTACCGTTTGTAGTCCCGTAGTAATTCATAATCCCAGAGACTACTTTTGAATTTTTTTTTTGTTTCCATTTTTATTTCAATCAAATACTACCTTGGACATTTAATTTAAAACTATTTATTCACACTTGTATCAATTTTTGTTGTGTAAAAAAAATAATTATTGCATTCAAAAGGTTAATGATTCTCTAGATATTTGCATATTAATATTTTGTGTTATTTCATCATGATTTCTTTAATTTCAGTCTGAACATCATTCACCGGTTGTTTTCACCATGGCAACTGCATCTGTTGTAGTTGAAAAAAAACGAGAAAGTATTGGCGAGACGATTGATTATTCTGAAGCAAATCACTCTGTGTATCTACTGAAAGGACTGAATGAATTGAAGTCGCAGCAGTTGTTCACTGATATCACACTCGTTGTTGGGAGACACGAATACCCATGCCATCGAGCTGTTCTGGCATCTTGTAGTCCATACTTTCGTGCTATGTTCACCAATGATATGAAAGAAAGAAATGCAGATAAAGTGCAGATCAAGGATGTTCAAGTTGAAGTGATGAATGTCATCATTCAGTTTATCTACACTAGTAAAATCACAATCTCTCCTCACAATGTGCAGGCAATTTTTGAAGGAGCCAGTCTCTTACAGGTACATTCTGTTCAAGACGTCTGCGCTCGGTACTTTGAACGTCTACTTTCACCTAACAACTGCTTAGGGATACTGGAGTATGCTGACACTCACAGCTGTGTGGAACTTCAGTCAAAAGCGCAGAAAATGTTACTCGTGAATTTTGTGGATGTCTGTAAAAACGAAGAATTTTTCCTATTGTCTAAAGACAGACTAATTGAAATTCTAGCCACAAGTGATTTGTATATTGATCGTGAAGAGGTGGTTTGTGATGCCATCTGCTCCTGGGTGAACCATGACCGTCCAGCAAGAGAAAGCTTTCTGCCAGATTTGCTAGTACATGTCAGGCTTCCATTCCTCTCACCAACATATCTTGGCAAAGCATCAAATGATCCATTATTGAAGCATGAACACCTAGCAGTCGCAAAAGATAAAATGTTAGAGCGTACACGTACATACTATGCAAAGTCAAGAGACATTGCAGTTACCAGTCTGTCTGCAACAAAACCTCGAAACTACACTCAAGTATTGCTCACAATTGGTGGACAGAATGAAGATCTGCAGGCAGTAAATTGCATTTATTGTTATGATCCAGTCACTGAGAATTGGAGTTACCTGTATGAACTTCCTGATGAACTCTTTGATTGGGACCTTGCTGTGGCTTCTCTCGGAACTGACATATTTGTCGCTGGAAAACGCCCTCTTATCAGTTCTCTTGAGCCGAACTTTCCTGCTTGGATCTACAAAGGTGTGAAGCAGAGATGGATGAAAGTACTACCTCCACAAGGTCTGGAAACTGTAGAGTATGCATTGACATCTGATGATTCTGGTATTGTGTACGTCTTAGGTGGGTATGATTCTAACATGCGCAACCAGTCAAATGTGAGGCGTTACATTGTTGCAACAAACACCTGGGATGAAATCGCTCCGATGCCGATGGCTGCGAGTAATCTATCTGCAACAATCTGTGAAGGAAAGATATACACAATTGGTGGTTACACTGGAACAGATGACACCTCCGTCATTCAATGCTATGATCCAAAAATCGATAAATGGAACTTCGTCAAACCTCTCCCGATTACAGTACGTGATGCAGTGGCATTAACTATGAATAACTGTATTTACTTGTTGACTGGTGTTGCGAAAAGTATTGTATATCGCTATGACCCATGCATTGATAAATGGTCTCAACTTAATGGTATGGCAAAAGAGGTATTTATGTATGGTGCGACTGTATGTAACAACAGTATACTGGCTGTAGGGGGGTATTCAGGTGATTACTTCGATATTGAGGTCAACAAAACCATACAGAAATATGATACAGATGAAGACTGCTGGGACGTATCTGAAACTATGCCCCATGGACTGCACAGTTTAAGATGCACCACCATGTACAGGTATGCAGCATTAGGAACATGAACACTCCCTGACTACGCACATGATATGCAAAACATGCAAAGTTATCATGTCTAGGTGTTTTCTATCATGTCTACATGTACCGTAATATATGTATTAGAAGCCGCATCCCTAATAGAAGTCTCATTCTTTTTGAACAATTGAGAACCAAAAATTTCTCATATGTGTAGCTGCATTCCTTCTGTTGCATTGTACCATTTCAATAGAAGTAGTAGCTTCTAATACAGATTTTACAGTAGGTGTTTTCTATCATGTCTAGGTGTCTTCTATCCCTGCGAGGATTAACCCTTTTTCTTCCCACCTAGCAGAACCTTTTTTTTAACTTAAATATCTTAAAATGCAATATGGACAAGACAATGTTTCATACTGTTTATTGGTGGATACATTAGACTATGATTTATTATGACAGGAAAACACTTTTTTGTAGCACAGATGATTATTCATTTGATGAAACAATGAAATTATCTACCGGTAATACACTTGTGAACTTTTTGTTGTGGTACATACAGTAACAATCACTGCACATGGTTATTAGTGGTTTTGATTTTTCATCTAACAAATAATATTGAGTGTCTTGCAAATGAAAGATAAGTAGTTCATAATATGAGGTTATAACGAGAATACCAAAAAGTATGCACAAAGACAGTACTGTCTGAGTGCATACTTTGCAGTATCCTCATAAAAAAACATTTAGAACAGATTAAGCAAACTTCTTTGGGTGGGGGTCAAACCCTGGTGGCAGCCATGTTTGTTTTTTATTATTAAAGGACGCTTACCCACGTAATCGTTCCATATTTAGAATTTGCATCTCCTCCATACCCAGTGCAATACCGCAAAAATTTGGCACGCTGTAACTTACGGCGTTTTGGTAACAGATGTATAATAAGTCATACTTTAATTTGGTCTACGGTATGGAGTATCAAATAACAATAAGTTTTTTTTATCGATATTGCATATTTAAGTACTTTCAAAACATCATTCCAAAACACTATGGTAGTGTATAAACATCATTTACAGAAATTTGTAAACAAGTAGTTGTTGTTCTCTGAATATTCCATCCTAATGAGTGTATCTTTAGGTTGCTATGGTAGTTTACCAACATTTTATTATAAAAAAAAATAAGTGAAAATATGAAGGGGGTCAAAAGGATTTTCTTTGCATTTCTGAGTAAAGTTGTGGTTGTTAATTAAAATATTATTTAATATTGGTAGAAATTCCACGAGTTGTACTATAATTACTAGTAGCAAAAACCATAATGATTAACGTACAGCTCCAGGTGTATAAAAGAAAAGAAGGCAATCAAAAATTCTAGTTTCATACATTTTTATATTGTTTATATTGTCATGATTATATGTAGAATGCTATTTTGACATTAGTTTACTAGTTGATCAA